AGGAGGCCCAGAATAACAAATGTAGTCCTTAGCCAGAAATATGAAACAGGATTTATTACAATAACAGACCTTAAATTATACCAAGGAGCCATAGTAACAAAAATGACATGGTACTGACACCAAAATAGGCAAGAAGACCAATGGAACAGAATTGAAGACACAGAGACAAATCCACATAAATACGGTTACCTCATATTAGACAAAGATACCAAAAAATACACACTGGAGAAAAGATAGCCTCTTCAACAAATGGTACTGGGAAAACTGGAAATCCATTTTTAATAGAATAAAAGTTATCCCCTATCTCTCACTCTGCACAAAAATCAACTGTAAGTTCATCAAAGACCTAGAAATTAGACCAGAAACCAGAAACCCTGCATCTACTAGAATCAAAGATTGGCACAACACTTCAACACACTGGCACAAGAACCGACTTCCTGAACAGATTCCTAAAGCACAAGAAATAAAATCAAACATCAACAAATGGGATGGCATCAAACTGAAAAGATTCTTCACAGCAAAAGAAACAATCAGAAACTGAAGAGAGAGCCTACAGAATGGAAGAACATCTTTGACAACTGCACCTCTTACAAGGTATTAATTTCCAGAATGTACAAAGAACTCAAAAAGCTTAACACCAAAAAAGGAAGTGACCCAATTAAAAAAAGGGCAAAGAAACATAACAGACCCTTCTCAAAAGAAGAAATACAAATAATCAACAAATTTTCAACATCACTAGCAATTAGAGAAATGCAAACTAAAACTATGCTGAGATTCTAGCTCACTCCAGGCAGAATGACAATTATCAAGAACAAATGTTGGCAAGGATGTGGGGAAAAGGGAAAAAGTCCCACTCACACATTGTTGGTGGGACTGCAACTGATGCAACCACTCTAGAAAGCAGAAAACTTGGAATGGAACCACCATTTGACCCACCTAACCCATCCCATGATATATATCCAAAGAATTTTAAATCAAATACTACAGTGACACAGCCACATCTATGTTTATAGCCACACAATTCACAATAGATAAGCTGTGAAACCAATCTAGATACCCATCAGTGAATGAATAAGGATGTATATATCATGGAAATGCAAGATATATTACTTGGCCATGAAGAAGAATGTCCTTATGACATTTACCAGGAAATGGACGGATCTGAACAATATCATGCTAAGTGAATAAGCCATTCCCAAAAAACCAAAGGTTGAATCTTTTTGATGATATATGGAAGTTAAACCACAATAAAGAGAGGGAAGGGAAAGAAGAGAAATTCAGTATTATTCAGAACTAGACAAAGAGGAACAAAGGGAAGGGAGGAATAGGAAAAACAGTAGAATTAATTTAATGTAATTTTCCTATGTATATATATGTAAATACCATCATGCCCACCTACACAAGTGGAGTTCTAATTAGAATAAGATATTCCATGCTTGTATAATTGTATCAAAATGGATTCTAATGTCACATATAACTAAAAAGAACCAACAAAACAAAATGAAGAAAGAAAGGAAGTGGTCCAGAGTCTAATGCAAGCAGAGAGAGCTGTTAAGATAAGGTCTGGAGAGTCTCCGTTGTTTGGTACAGAAGGATTGATGTGCTTAGTCAAGCGTTGGACGCACTGTCCTGTGAGTCATTCTTGTTCCTGCCAGATGGTAGAACCAATATCCAGAAGATGGCTATCGTAGAGAGAGATGGAAAATGATTCTTTCATTGGTAAGCAGTTAGGTATAAAGCTTCTGTAACTCCTCTGTGCATCCAGGATTCTGCTATGCTGGTATCAGAGCTGACCAACTTTGAATCCTTGGCAGTAAGGCTTGAATAACAATATTCCCCCGATGGTGTAGGGTCTTTCATCAGGTGGACATGGCAACACCTCAAAGCTGGTCACACTAAGTTGTTATGTAAGCCATTTTAGGAACCCATAGGAACTCTTCCCCCTCATTTGCACAGACTCAGCCAAAATAACTATGTGCAAATAACCTAGTGCAAATAACCGGTTAGCGGTTTACTTTGCTTTTTGACTTTTAATTCAAACTAAACATTATATAAGAAGTTTTGATAATAACCCATGAACTTCATCTTTTTTAAAAGGTAGTGTAGCTCTCTTCCTGTAGGGTAACCATAGCAACTGACAAGGAACAGAGAAAGAGAGCTTTCACACATGCTGTGCTAATTAATCCTGTCCTACCGTTTTCCTTCAGCTGGAGGATGCAGTTTAATAAATTTTGCATGAGTAAGCGTGTTTTGATGCATGAACTATATAAATACGTAGTATTAGCTTTATCAAATGTTTTTCAAAAATATTCAGTTGAATACGGTTGTATATTCATACTTCATGGTATTCTTTCCGTTTTTCTTTAATATTCTTTTTTTTTGATTGAGCTGCTGTTTTAAGTATGTACTCCCTCCCTGAAATACTTTGGGTTTATTGACCTTACTAACTGGACAGAAACATCTTTCAGGTGAAAACCTTTTGTTCATCAATATACAGGACACTTTCCACAAGAAACTGTTTTAATTGACTAACTCTATTAAAGGGAGAGGATGAAAGAGTTTTTCTTCAAGCAGTGCAGGAGACTATCTTAAAGTATATAGCATTCTTCATTCTGTTCACACTTACATAAAGCCATTCTAAGAAGCTCAGTCTTAATGATTTGAAAGTTAGATATTGAAAACTCATTTTCACTGTCATTTGTGAAGTTTTATGGCCCATCTAAATGAAGATGGGGCTTTATTTGGCCTCAGCATGTGGGAAGGAGGAGAGAATTATGAAGACTCAGATCTTTTTCCATTTATATTTTCCACAGATATCTAACCAATTTAACAGATTCATATTTGATCTGGAAATTACTTGTAATTACGTTGATTTATACTATTTCTGGGTTATCTTAAGGCCTAATTTTCTCTTCACAGTTGAGAATGTCACAGTTTTTTCTATAAACAGACTGGTCATCTGAAGTGTCAAAGAAATCTCATGGGTTTTCATTCTTTTATCCGTCTGGCCTGGCTTTTGACAACAGGGCCTCAGGAAAACCAAGGGAATCCAGCCTGATTTTTTTTTCCATCCTATTTGACTTGACAACAGCATATGGAATGAGTCAGAACCTGTTTTAGGACTTGTACTTAGCTCTTTGGTCTCTTTATTAAAGCATAGTCATTGGAGGAACCAGACCTTTTAATGAGATGACCAAATTTTAGTGCTACTTTCCCATTCTGATTATTCTGTTACTTAGTTTTGCCTGAAGTGAGGTTAGACAAAACCTTGCAGAGGAAAGAAGAGGTTATTATGTAAATATGTTATTGGAAATAGTTATTCTATTCACGTGCAGGAAAATTGAGTAGTGCCATGCGTGTAATCTATATATTTTAATATGGAATGCTTTAAGCATTGACCAATTTACAATGTACCTTCACATTATTATAAAAATTTCACTGTAGAAAAAAATTGAGTGACTAAAACCTTGGTTGATTTTATGAAAAATTCTTTATCTTACCTCCTGGCCTATAAATTTGAATTTCGCATGGAATACAGAAAACGGAATGCTATATTTAATAAGCAGAAAAACTCATATTCTTAAATACTACATAAAAATTTTAGTAATCAGAACATTAAAATGAATATGGAAAGGAGTATTCACTATAAAATGTTTTGTATGCCTTGAGCATCATAGTAGTAAATATTACTTTTTATTTTATTAGTAAGTGTTGCATTGCTGTGACAAAATACCTGAGGTAATCAAATTAAAAGGAAGAAAAGTTTGTTTTGGCTCACAGTTTCAATCTATGGTAGGTTGGCTTTATTGTTTTGGGGTTTTGGTGAGGGATAATACCATGACTGGGAGCTAGTGGTGGAGAAAGCTGCTCATCTCATGACAGCAAAGAAGGAAAGAGAGAGAGAGAGAAAGAGACTGGTCTACCAATATTCCATTAAGGTCATGGACCAGGGCCTTCTATCAGGTGCCATACCCCAAAGGTCCCACCATCTCTCAGTTGTACCACAGGCTGATGACCAAGCCTTTGGCATGCGGGCCTTTGAAGAACACTCCAGATTCAAACTGTTGCATTTGTTATCAATGAACATACCAAATAGAGATCTATCACAGTTTTTTTTTCTTCTAAAAAATAATATCAAAAGATTTTGTGATTTTTTAAAAGGATGATATATTTATTGCACAACACTTGGAAAAAAAACAAAAAAATTAAAAAAGAAAAATCCTATATTCTAGAAGTAATCACTGGAGACATTCACACTATTTTCTGCCATTCTGTTTCTGTGTGTAAGGATTTTCAGTTATGAAGTCAAGCTGCATATACTATTTTCACTTCACATGTGATCATTTCCCCAGTTTTAAAAGATTTTTAGAAGACATTTTAATTTATCATATATTCTCTCATCACCTATATGTACCAAGTTTATTTGGTGATTCTGTTATAATTGTTGACTTTTAAATGAGTTTCCCTACTAAGCGTTTCCTAGTGAGTATTTGAGAGAAGACTGAAACTACAAAAAGTTTTGGGACAACCCTTTGAAAAAAGTATCATACACTTTTCCTGCAGATTCACAAATACATATTAAAAAATTAGGGGCCCTGAGAACTCTTCCAATTGTGAAACTGTATATCTTCCTAAATTCCATTTTTTTCTCAAAGGAATCCTCTCTTATAACACAGATTTATAACTCTCAGAATAGAGTTCTATAAAACATACTTGGAAAAATCCAGGATATATCTAAGCTTTTCTGCTAAGTCTGATAGTCTTTAAATTATTTGTTTACTGATTCATGATATTAGTGCTTTATTTGGAAATATAAATGTTTTAATGGTTATTACCATGCATCAAAACACAGAGATCACAATATATTTTCCTCATGGTATTGCATTCATGATTCTGAATTACCATAGTGTGTTTGGCCTTTTAAAATTGAGAATGTTCAGATTTAAAGCCCTTGTTCTATTAATGCCGATTTAACTTGTTTATTTTCATCTGACCCGCAGGTCTTGCAAGAGCAAAATCTGTCCCCAGCCACACATACTCCAATGAAGTAGTTACCTTATGGTACAGACCTCCAGATGTCCTCCTGGGCTCCACAGAGTATTCCACCTGCCTTGACATGTGGTGAGAAATGGAAGCTTTACTCTACTAATCTATGTGTTGCTTGGTCTGGGTCAAGCCTAGACAAACATCTTAACAGTTTGGATGAAGATTAATGGTGCAGGATTGTTCCCTGTGCGTGGAAGTACTAGTAGATTTTTTAAAACATGATTGGGAATGTTCCCTAATCAGAGTCTGCCTGCAGATGGTGTCTGGTAATGGATTCTTGATGGACAGAAGCAGAGACACTTTTCTAATTGTTATTTTTCTCCTTAAGGGTCTTAATTGTGCCTTTATTTTATGACAAGGAAGTATATATCTCCAAACAGCAATAGATTTATTTGGAAGTTGTGGGGAACATGTTTAAATTCACAACAAAACTCAGACACATAGTCTGAAATTTTAAACATAAGTATTAGGTACCAAATTGCTCACAATATGCCCTGAAAATTGTTGATACCAGTTATCCAAAATGAAATGAAATGATTAGTTTAAAAAATCTGAAGTTTAATTTTGGTACTCTCAGTTTTATACAGTGTCTCAGCAGAGCTTAAAAATATATCTCGTGAGGTCCAAAGACTGGCAAGATTTAATACGTAATTATTATAAATAGTAAACTACTCTGAGATCGTACTCGAGTGTGATTTAAATGTTATAATCATATTATAAAGGATTAATCTTATTTTTAGCACTCAAGACAGGCTCACTGTCACACATGGTTATTATTCATAGAAACACCCCTTTCCTTGACTCATAGTTGTGTTCATATGAGACTTTTCACAGAGTACACAGACCTTCCCCTATGACTATGCCCCCAAATATAGAATTCAGCTGTGTGACCATGTCCCGGACCCCAGTCAAACTTCATTGTGCATTGTGGTCTTGCTGTTGAGTACTCACTTCACTGCTCTGTCCCCAGTAATCTTGGCTTTTTCAGTAAATTAGGCTGTGATGAGACCTGCCTTCTTCCCTGGTCTGTTTGATCCAAATATTTTATGGTTAGAAATCAGTCAGGTTCTTTGTAATGTAGGGAACAGAAGAGATTTTCTGATTTTGCCTTCCAGCAGCCCCTCCCCATGGCCAGGAAGGGGATGTGGCGATCTGTAAAGCCACTGAAAATATATGCAACATTTTGTGTACACATTGAGATATTTATTTTTGTAGGGTGTAGATCTGTAGCTTTCAGTAAAAGAAACTTGGTTATCAGACATCCTAAGATCCATTGTCATAAATTTTATAATGACCTCTAATAAATCCAATACCATTTAATGATATTCTAAAATGCTGAAAATAAAGGTATCTATCATTGAGTGGCTGTGCTAATCCCTTTAAACCGTTGTTTACACTATTAATCCCCCCCCCCCAAGAATGGGTAGATCCTCCTTTGGTAAAAGAGATAATTTAGATCATTGGTTGCAATGGGGGGAAAGATTGGAAATTAAGGTTAATGCATCAGGCTATCAGTTACTTTCTCATTCCCTTTCTGCTTTCTGCCTTTGATTCAGAGTTGGCTAAGCATATAATCATAACATAATATTCTTTAGTTACAGAATTTTTGTCTGTAATATTTATATTGCTACTGGGGATTGAACTCAAGGGTACCCTATCACTAAACTACAAACACCGTTTTGTTTTTAATTTTGAGACAGGGTCTCCCTAAGTTGCCCAGGCTGTCCTTTAACTTATGACACCCCCCCCACCTTAGCTTCCTGAGTTGCTGGGATTCCAGGCATGTACTACAGAACCTGGATTTCTCTATTTTTCTGAGCCTGCAAATTCTGGATTGCCTTTCAATAAATTCAGTTAAGCCAGGTGTGGTGGCACACACCTGTAATCCCAGAGGCTCTGGAGGCTGAGGCAAGAGGATCATGAGTTCAAAGCCAGCCTCAGCAGAATTGAGATGCTAAGCAACTCAGTGAGACCCTGTCTCTAAATAAAATACAAAATAGGGCTGGGGATGTGGCTCCGTGCCTCTGAGTTCAATCCCTCGTAGCTCCCAGCCCCACCAAAAAAAAAAAAAAAAAAAAAGGAGTTCAGTTAAGGACTCCACTAATGAAACAGAGTTTGTAAATATTTGTGGCTTGGAGCCAGTCTTGTCTTAGTTCCTTGGCAGTTTATTTAAGATTGTGCCCTCAGAATCAGGAGAAGCTGTGTTTTAATATGCTAGTGGCTAATTGTTCCCAAATCTTTAGAAGTGCTTTTTAAAATCTAAAGAATTACACAGAGTCTGACTTGTTAATATGTCTGTTTCAGGCGTATTTATTTTCTAGTCTGTCTTTCCCCTCAAATGTGTGTGTGTGTTTGTGTGTGTGTGTGTGTGTGTGTGTGTGTGTGTTTTCATGTTCATTCTTTCTACAAAGATAGCTTGAGCACATTCTGCCAATTTCCTTTGAACAGAGACATAATGAAGCATAAGAAGACGACTGTTATTTAGGAAGAAGGGAGGGAAATTGATGGCAAATAGGAGGCCCCGAAATGCCCTTTTGTCTACATGCCAAGATTATTCATTGCCAAGAACAAATAGCAAATGTGCTAGGTTTAAGTAGCTTCACTTCCAAGCCTAAAATCTGAATTATGTCTGTGCTATCTATGCCTGTCATTTTCAATCTGACTTTATTCCAAGCCATTTTGTTATTATGCTGTAAGTCAGGTAAAAATGTATGTTTTTCCAGTTAGAGAGAAGCTCGCAGGGCCTAATTTTGCATCATCAATGACACCAACACTGGATATTCAGAGACCTAGAAATGGGACTATAATTGAGTCATGGCTCAGCTGCACCAAAGAGCAGTGCAAATATTAACCCATGGACAATAGCAGGGAGGCAGGTGGCAGTGGTTTCAGGCTACTTTTACAGTTCATTTACCATCCTGGGGCAGTAGAGTAGTAACTAAAAACTAACGATCCCTACACAGTGTTACAGTTTCTAGTTTCCTGTTTAAATAGCCACAGGCAATAAAAATATTAATGAAGACACATATGCACTGATGTTGGCATCAAGTGATGGATATTAGACCTGGTGCCGTAATGATTCGCTCCTCTAGGTCTCCAGTCCCATGGAAGTATGTGAGTACACTGTGATTGGAGAACTTTTCAGGAAAGATTTTTTGATACCTTCTCCTGATTGTAGTAGAGGAATCAAATTAAACACTGCTTCTTTTATAACTTAAGTCTTGGATTTTATAACTCTTTGAAAGTCAAAGCATAGGAAATCATTGCTAAGCTTCTAAACCAAAAAGGCTTACCAGGTTCTGAAAACCACATTAAGAGAAGTGCAGAGGTGAAAAGCAGCTCATCTGTGTAGTTCTTCCCTTGCCAGGGAGCTCTGTTCTAGATGTTGAGATCATTGCTCCAAATAAACTTTACATTCTTTATGGAAGCTCACAAATATGTTTAGAACTGCATTTGTTTCCTAAAGCATTAAGTTGCTTGGGCTTATTTTAAGGGATTAATGTTTAATATTGGGTGACTAAGTTACTGTAACTAATAAATGATTATCTCATCAAGATCACAGTGCTTTTGGGGGGCCCTGCGGTATCAACTACAGTGCTCCCCAACACAGTGTGCAAAGAATTACAGCATGCCAGTCTCTTCCTTTCATCATCTTTTTAAAAGCTAATTAACATATTAACTATGCTTGTCAAAATGTGAGGCAAATCACTTATAAATAAGCCTGTCAAATGTAATGAGATTGCATATTAAATCACCCGTTCCTCTATTACATCTCTGATTTAAGATTAAAATTAATTTATTTAACATTGTAGCAGCTGGGTGGTTAGGAAAAAATTTCCATATTGCTCTTGATATATAGCAAAAAGTCTGCATTAAAATTTATTTTACATGTTTCAGAAAAGAAATTGCCTGTTTATTAAGTACTATGAAACCATTTAGTACTGCTTTTTATTAAATAAGCCTAATCACCAGACATATTGGTAATATACAAATTTCTGCCATGATCATTAATGATCTCTTCTGAACCAAGAAAATTTTTGTAATAAAATGAATCTCTTACAACTTAGGTTTATTTGCTAATGATTTAAGAGAATCATAAATGAACCTTGCTACAGCCCATACCTTGAGAATAAATTTGTTTTATATGTGGTTCTGTGGTTTAATTTTAATAACAATTATAATAAATAATAAAAGGTACTTTTATTGAACACAAACTCTATTTTAAGCCCTGTTATGCATTTTAATTACCTACCTATTGTACCATGATACATTGAAAGGAAACAAAACCCACAGAGACTTAGTGATATGGTTAAGGTCATAGTTAGTAAATAGGGGCAACACTCATACTCAAGGCCAACCCATCCAAAAACAAAGCCTTTTCTCTTTACAACTTATTATATAATATCATAAAATTATTTATAAGAAATAGCTCTTTATTTTGCTTCTAAAGTGATTCCAAAGCACAAATACAATAAAGTTCCTATTTCATAATTCAAGTTATACTGACATGTTAGGTTCTTTGCATAATTTAAATATAGTGTGTGTGGGGGCTTTAATCCTCTTCCAACAGTCTATGGATTGTCTATTGACATCAGTGTTCTAATAGATTCTACTTTACCGATTTATTCAAGGAGCAGCTTTTTAAAATAAACTAAGACAAGAATAACTGGATTGAATACATTTTCATGGTGCCAGTATCTGTGCTGGCATACATTCTTCCAAATTCCAGGCATTAATATTTTTAACAAATCTGCTAGAATGAAGGGGGGGTCCATTTTAAAAGGAATCCAGTAAGAATGAAAATTTGAGTTCATGAGCTAAGTAAAGTCATCTGTCAACCCTGTTTGCATATTTTCTAATTAATCAGGCCATAAAACCAAAGAGGACATGAATTAATCATTGTTAGATATAGCAGCTCTTTAGGAGCGCTTGAGGGCTACTCAGGAAATGCACAATCCAAGTAACCTGTTGGTGTAGTCACCGACAATGTGGTGGAACATAACAGAAGAACTGGGGACAAGTCAGAAAGCTGAGCTCATGGTGGTAGCCATGGTCTCCAAGCCTGGTGCCACTAT